ACAGAAAAGTTACAACACTTTTTTTACAACGAGTCACTAATTTCAGATATATATAACTTGTCATTTGAGAGTTTCATGTATGTAAAGAAAAATCATTGACTTGTTTGCAAGTTCAGGTGTTTCGATTATTTTAAACATGAAATATGAATTGATTATTAAGTTTTAAGTTGTAATTAAAAAATTTCTTATTCATATTTCTTGATAGTTACTAAGAGATTTTCCATAGTACTGATAAGACTTACAGATAGCTTCTTGCTAACCGTAAATTTACGAGAAATTGTAAATATTTACGTCTACAGATACTCATAGAATTGCAGGTCCAGTCATAAGTTTTTACGAGTTTTATGATTTTGTCTAGATTTACGCAGCATTAGTCATCCCAGACATTTTTCCCAAAATTTTTTGCTTTCCATTTTACACTACGAGATTGAACAAAAAATAGAATAAAACATACGAAATGCTTCAAGTACTTATATTTTAAAATTACACACGTATTATGCGCGTGCTATTAAGCATAGTAATATTAAAAATGTGACCCAATATTTATTAAACACTTAATCTGATATATATCCACAAATATATCATATAAGTTCATCATAAAGCATCAAATTTACTCAAAATATATTTGATTTTGGGGCAACTTTGGGTGTTCTAATCCCGCAATTTTGCTGTATATAGGAAATATACAGTATATATAATGTTATGCTGTATATAGGAAAATCTAAGAAAACTTTCACGCAGAATCACGAGAAACTTGGGTCCCGCTGGAGAAACGCGCCGCACAATGTCAGACATGTTACAACGGGAGAGCTCTCTGCGAATTCTGCGATTATCCTCGAAAATAAACAAAAAGAAAAGAAAGAAAACAGGTATCGACATTAGCATCGCAACTGACGGGACGAAACTCCCGCGGAGAATTACAGACGGGCAGTGTAAAAAACGCAATCCGTATTCTTAATCATCGTCGGTGGCAAATTACGATGTCCAAAGAATAAAAGATACACGCAATAGAAACGGATGATGAATGTAGCGCGCAGCTATTCCCAGGCTGGAAAGCCCGAAATTAGCCGATCGATCCGAGACTTTTCGCCCCAAGAAATAACCGGCGGAATCCAAGCGGCCCTGGTTTAGTCGACGCGCTTGTCGCGGACCTTCAGACCGAAAGTCGCATGAACACGTCGCATAGCGCGCGAACGCTCCTCCGGTGCATCGACGATGATATTCCACCACCGGCGAATAAACAGGAGGGAGTTTCCCGTAAATTTGCAACTCCTGTCTCGACCACCCGGCTCCTTCGCATTCATTAGCTTCTTGCGCACCTCGCCGGTTAATAACCGCGACTAATAAGTCCTGGCTTCTGGTAATTGAGATGAACCCGCGGGGGCAAGGGCGGTTAGAGAGGTCGCCGTTCTTCAGGGTTCCGTCGTGTATCGGCCTACTCCACTCGTCCGTCCCGTCGCATGTTGCGAATAAAGCAAGGCAGACTACTTCTTCGCGAGTGTTTCTCTGCCGCGGCGATTCGTTCTTCTTATTGCATTGAGGAACTCGTCGCTCGGCATTCCGCCGCGGTCGGAATTTCTATTTCATAATAACAGCCGTCCGCTCGCTCGCGTTCGCGCGCTTCGAGGAGGCGAGCCATCCGGGAGAGAAGAAGAAGACTCCTCTTCGTCGTTCTCTCCTTGTGCTTCGCGCACCTCTAGACCCGCGTATAGACGAGTGAGTACCCACTTCAGACTGGTTTCCAACTCAGCCTACTCGACTCGTATGCGCGCGGAGGTACCCCGAGCGAGTAAAAACGCGCGCGGGCACAGTGGTCTCTTGCGCGCGCGGCCGTCCAGATGCGTGCCGACTTTGATCTCTTTGACCTACTATTTTCAGGGCGACCGTAATTGAGCGGAGTCGCGCGCCGCCGAGCGGGATTCATTTAATCGTCACGTCTTAATTTGTTGGCGTCGTGCCGCACGGATTTCGCGAATTAAGCACGGTTAATTGTCCGGGGTAATTGAACGGCCGCGAGAGCGGACGCGTGTCCTCGTGTGAGGTAGGATATCCTCGCGTGTGTAATTCGAAGGGAGGCGCGCGCGCGCTTTGAGCAAAGCCCGAGCGAGTTGATCGATGCAGTTGCGAAAGGGAAAAGTCGAACTTGTAGGTGAAACGTCAATCGGCGACGCGCGTTGTTCCGTGTATTATTTCAATAGTGGCTGCGCGCGACAATTTTCTAGCTATCACTGACGGTTAATATACGGGGAAAATATTGTAGTAAAAATTACTACACAATTTTGTAACGCTGGAATTGTGACTGAAATTATTATGTATCGTAATCTTTAGTGATGTCTACAATGAAATACATCAATTAGAACACGCATCATGTCTACAATGAAATACATCAATTACAACACACATTATGATTTCAATATAATTCCGATATGGCTCAACATTACAAATATTTACTATATTTTCTCCGTGTAGAGCGAAATCGACTGGGCAAAATACGTTAGAAAAACATCGAGCGAGATCTGATATGGTGCTCCCATTCCCTAGATATAATGACATCGAAGATTTCCAATCAAGCGCATTATGTGCAAATATTCGTGCATCATGGCTGCTAATTATTTGATAAAGATACTTCAAAGCAGCAATCATGATGCATAAATATTCAAAAATAACGCGTCTGGTTAGAAATGTTCAATGTTTGCCGATATGATAACGAATACATTAAGATTAATATTGTATTATAAAATATTGATAATACATTCGCTATCACATCAGACCGTAACTTGTTTTATTTACAGTTTTGTGTCCTTCAATTGTATATCTCGCCAGAATCTTAACTTCTATCAAATTTATTATCTTCAATGTTACTGTGTCTAGGGAATGAGATTACTGCATTAATGGAATCTTCTGTACATGAAATATTTACCCCCGTTTACATAAATTATGGAAACGAGCCATGTACACGATACTATATCCCATCAATTCGGCCCGAAGATCGACAACCGCGAAGCGCTCTAAATTAAATGTTACATATTGTCCTCGTTCGCACGGCGACCTCTTCGATCACGAGACGTCGTTAAAGTCGACAAACCTGACACGGCAGCTTTCAGCGAGATATTAAATTCCGCTTGCGCACTTCCTCGTCCCGCCGGCGAGCGTATCGCCGTTCGCTCTTCGCGCGAATTATTCCGCCGGTGATTTTTCCTCTCTACGCAACGCTACGAGAAATTAGGTGGACGTCCAATAATAGCGCGCGTATATTTTCGCAGAATCCTTGAAGAAACACGCCTCTAGATCTCGCTTCCGGTAGCTCTTCTTTTTCCTCCTACCGCGCGACGGAGAGTATTCCCACCGAGCGTCCGTCCGTGCGTCTCCTCGTCCGATCGATCGATCGATGATGATCGTGATACATCACGAAAATCGCGCTCAATCTCTCGCGAGGGACACCTTCCGGACGCTTCGCGAGAGAGCCGCGGAAGAAAGCCGACAAAAAAATTTCTAACAGCGAGAGTTCAATGACACCGCGGATAAATATTAGCCGGTCGCGTGCGCGCCGTTCTCCTTTTTTCGCCCGCTCGCCCTCTTCCCTGGCCTCGCTCCTGCCTCTCGGCGCCGGGAAATGTTTTCCTCGGTCTTTTTCTTGCCGACCAGCGCGGAGCACTTTTTTTGTCATTGCGCATCCTTGGACGACGATCGATCTGCCGACATCGAGCCACCTCTCGCGCGAGACCGCGGGATTTCAATGCGTTCCGTGACGTATTGACAGGCACGACGGGATAACTTGCACCGTCACACACGCACGCACGCGCGCGCACACACACACACCCCTCACACTCCGTTTTCCGCATTTATTTTTGTTGGACACACTGTGGCGCGAATGTGCGCGCGAGTGCGGGGTTTTTCAATCGCCCGGCTGTTTTCACTCCGGAGGCTGGCCGATCTATCCGTAACTGCGATCTAGTCCCGTGACTCGCCACGGTTCGGGGAAACGGAAAAACGTGGGACACGATCGCGATCGATCGCGGGCGATTTTATAATTAGCATTTTCCAGCGAACGAATTGGGCACGCGGGGAGGGGGGTGGCGCGGAGAGAAACCGGCTGCGCGGAGATGACACATCTGTGAGCGCGGTTGTACGCGGTTTATGCGTAATTATATATAACTGCAACCGTCCGCCTGCACTCTATTTTCTGCATTTATTTTTCTTGGATACACTGTATCCACGAATGCGCCTGCAAGTGAGTGATTTTTCATTCGGCACGGTTATTCGCGCGCGCGCGCGCTCGCAACGATCGGACGATCTATTCGTACGGGATGCGCTTCATTCGGAGAAGCGGAAAAACGTGAAACCCGAGACAATTGTAATCAATCGGCGATTTCGTATCCTACCTCTTCCTGGTAGGACGAATCCAGAATAGTCGAGCGAAAATGAAAACGTTAAGCTACATAATAAAAGATCGTTAAAAAAAAATCGGAAAAATATATAAAGTAGAAAACTTTTATATTCGTCTCGTACATTGTGTTAAAATCGGCCCTTGTTAAAATCTTTGGGTTGAATTTTTAACATATCTGTGTATTAATTTAACATATTATGTTATCTCAATATTTTGTGTTGAGTCAATATTCAACATGTGTTAAAATAACACTTTTAAGCGTTAAAATAACGCATTTTATACTTTAGTGTTGATTAATATATTAATTTTGTGTTAATGTTTCAAATAATAATAGTAATAATTTTTTTTAATTTGTGTTATTTTTCAACCTTTACGTATTCACCTTACGTATTTACCTTATGTACTCACCTTGTGTTAAATTAACACAAAAATTTATGCGGATCATTTCGGACATGTGAAATATGTTAAATTTAATACAAAATTTTTTACTGTGTAGAAATACAATTTAACATGAACGTAACATCGCAAATTGGGTAATCCTCAGGATTTCTCCGGTAGGAGAATTCGACTTCCAGCGCGACAGTTTTTTTAGCAAAAATAGAAGTGACTCTACCTGCAGGTTCGAATACGTGGAGGCTCCGCCGCTTTCTAGACTCCTGCCCGTCGTGCGACAGCTGTTTCAGGTACTTTCTGTGCGCTCTCTCGTACTCGACCTGGCTCACGTTCGCCTGGAAACAAAACGTATAATAGTTTCCTTAAAGCCTCATCATCGAGACGGCTTAACGCTTATGTAACGTTGCGTGTATAATAGCGCAGGACAATTACAACGCACACACGCGGCGAATAAAGAGTATCTACCGGAAGCATATTCTTGCTTCTTGGAACTTTTGTAGACAGAAATTTTGCGGAACACGTCGTTAGTCCACTCGTTGAAATCTTTTCGTAAAAGATATCGTTAAAAGCGCTAACAAAATTAATAATAATTTAAATATGCAGAGTATATTTGAATTCTACCAACAAACTCAAAGGACGGATTCTATGTTAAAAAATAAGTAAAAAAAAATCTTAGTAAATATATCCGTATAAAAGTTTGATTTTTTAGATATAACCTTCAGAAGATGACAACGATAAAAGAAATATGTAGCGATAAGCGTGTTAAAAATGCTGATATAACATTATTTTTACTTGTTTTGGAAGATAATATCTATCAATTTTGAGATTTCTGAATATTAACTGAAGAATCATTCATTGTGACTTTGATATATTATCGTTAGTTTCAAATGAAATTGAAAAAACGCGCGTCTTTATTCCACGGATATCAATTGTGCATTGATAAGGAGAGCAGACACTTTGAATAATTTTTATAACAGTATGTGTCTAGTTACTATTTGTAAAACACGATTTAACAAATAAAATATATATTTTTTAGACTGCGACAATTACATCTCAGAAACTCAGACAATTATATCTCAGAAACGTTTGAAGACATATATTTACAAAAATTTTTCACTTATTTTTTTATGTAGAATCTATGCTGTGAGTGTATCGGTGGAGTTTAGATATATCCTATATATAACAATGATATATGATACATATATAAAATATAATAATATTTAATTATTTTCCTCTCAGAGAAATGGTAACTCTTTTCAATAACAAATTCAAAGAATGTTTGAAAGCCAGACCCAAGTTTCAGAGTCCAAGAATTTAGGAATTACACAACAAAATATCGTTTTTTCTTGTCGCATCTCTTTACGAGTCTCATCGCCACGATCACCATCCGAAATCTCGACTTTCCCTCCAGAGCGCGAAACACTTCGGTCTCGCCGGCTGAACTTTCGGCCCGCTTAATTGATTCTCAGCTACGTCCAGCGAGGTCGAACGCGATAATTGCTTCGCGGACGTGACATCAAAATTATCTAATTTTCTGGGGTCACGACGCCGCCGCTGACTTCTCGGTCCAGTTAAATAACGTCCTTTCTCGGCGTCTCTCTCGCCTATCTTTTTTAAGCTATTCCTCCCTTTCACTCCCCCCCCCCTCTCTCTCTCCTTTCTTTCATTCTTACTTTTCTCGCCTCGTTATTCTCGCATTCTGTATTTTCCGATTCTTTTCTATTTCTTCAACCGGCTTCCTCGAGTCCACTTTAAGAGCAGTCTAAGCTACTGTTTCACGGCTGTGCAACAACCAGTGAGCGCCCTTTTCCCTTCCCCGCTTCCACGATGAGAAAGACCAGACGAGTCGTCGACTCGTAAAATTAGCTCGTTGAGGCCGCGACCACTGAACATTCAAGCAGACGACGGATAATAGACCGCAAGAGGGTGTGAGAACTTTCGCGAGCCTCTCATCCGCAGAGTTTCCGAGTCGGGTTCTACAGTGGGAACTTTCTACCTTTCTGCCTCTCGAAATGATGATTCTTACAGAGAACTACAGTTTATCATTCTATTGTGTGTCGCTTGCGCGCTCTACAGGTTGCGATACGGCCGGTTTATGCGTAAGTCTCTCGACTAATCTCGAGATTTTCACTTCCGAGGAGCTTTCCGACCTTCGGTCTCGCAATTAAAGAAAAAAGTCGGATTTTTAAGTAGAGAATTAATATGTTCATTGAGATGTGACGCCTCAAATACGTCTTTTAGACGTTTTTACGACGTCTTAATCTAGAGATCGATTGTGTATCTCAAAACGTAGTGAAAATTATAAAAGTGAGTAAATTCACTAGGTGTTGACCAATTATTATTTTGAGACATTATATTCTTGTAAATTCACTCACTTTTGTAATTCTCACGTTTTGAGATACACAATCGACTTCCCGGTCTATTGGTGTTTTAAGGCTTAAGAGGATCCTAGAGTCGTTCTGTTTTACCAAAATTTGTTAGTATTATACTCGTTATTTAATATTAATTATTTATTAATATTAACAAATTTGCGGTAAAATAGAACAACTTCAGGATCTTCTTAAACTTTGAGAAATTGATCAATCACAGTCGAATGTGAGAAAAACAATCGACTGTGATTGGTTAATTTCTCAAGTCTTGAGGCTTAAAATTACTACTGTAAACTGGGACTGTATGTTATTCGATAAGTGGCAGTTTAGAGCAATCTATATACAACTAGACGCAGCCTGGACTAACTTTGCAACGGAGTCAGGACTCGGAACGTGGAAAAAAACCCGCGAATGCGTCCATTTTAACGTGGAATTTCCGGAACGAGATGCACCGGTCGCTGCACCAAGCGCAGAATTGCGTCGATGCAGCGGCGGCGACGGTGGCGGCCAGCAGCCGGAAGTGGCGCCGTCGAAACGAGCAGGGGACGACGCGCTCGATGAATCATCATCCGCGGAGAGACGCGCGCGACGCGACGCCTCCGCAGTCCCTTTAAAGTCACTTAACTTCTCGTCTTGAGAGGAATCGCTTAACTTCCACGGGCTGATTCCAGCTCTGCGCGCTTGGAGCGAAAACAAATTTGTGCGAATCACTCTCGCGATATACGGAGAGAGAATGCGGGCGAGAATTACGTCGTAGAACTACGCGTCCTGCGGAGTGAGTCAGAAGTCCGGGAAACGGCCTCCTCTCTCAACGACCCCAATTTTTTCAATTAAATCGCCGAAGTAATCTTTGCGAAGCGATTGGTACATCCTGTTCGATGAACGTTACCCGAGAATCAACACGGGTCGAAATGGACAGAGAGAGACAAAGAGAAAGAGAGAGAGAGAGAAGTTATCGCAGTGGGCTATAAATTCAACGTTGCATGCTAATGTTGAGACCGCCAATTCGCTACAAACTCGTCTCAAGACATTCATTACGGACGCCGTCATCGAAAGATGATGTATACGTGTAATATACAATGTACACGTGCCGCTCGTCATATCAATCGAGGTCCCTCTTCGGTAACACGTGACTCGCAGCGCAAACGAGCCACGACGATGCCCCCCTTCATCGATACGTTGTCGCACAAATTTATACACCGATATCAACGCCCACACGGGCATGTCAGACGCCACGATGATAAAAAAAAATCGACTTGCATACGCGCGTGCGAGTGACATATTGTGTCTTCGCTAGGGCGAAATCCACACGGTACGAAGTCGAATACGGCACATCGCATATCGCGCGCTAACGGTCGTTGCACAATCGCAGCGCCTCGTATCTTTTCATAAATAATAATAATAAATGAGGCAACCGGAGCCGCGCGGATTTGGGAAGAAGATATTTTTGAAATTCCTTGACTATATTCCACGTTCCATAGTACGCGTTCGAAGAACGCTCTCGAATGAAAGGGCTCTCGCGAACTTCTCGAGAAAATGACAACGTTGTTCGTAGCAATTTTTCAAGACTCATTATAAAATATTATTTTATAATTTATATTTATAGGAATCACACAAATGTGATGCATACATTAAAAAATGTTGTGCTTGAGGTACATTTCACATGTCTCAAATGGCCCATATAAATGTTTGTATTAATTTTGCACAAGATGAATATGTTGAAAAATAACACAAATATTAAATTAATACAAAATTAAAATATAAAATGTGTTATTTTAACATTTACACGGAAGGAGAATTAGTCTTAATGATGGATATTTTCATATATAAGCAAAAATATTATAATCTTCTTAAAAAATTGTTAGTCTTGATTTGATTGAATTTCCATTGATGCAAATATTACCTGCACTCAATTCAAAAAATCTTCTAAGAATATTATAATATTTTTGCTTATATATATATAAGGTTATCTATCATCAATTTAAGAGTATTTATTTTCTGTGTACAAGTGTTATTTTAACACTTACATATGTTGAATGTCGGTCTAACACAAAATATTGAGATGACATAAACACAATATGTTAAGTTAACACACGGATATATTAAAAGTTCAACAGAAAAATATGAATAAGAAACAATTTTAACACAAATACAAAATGTTTTCCACTGTATATATATTTTCTTACTTTTACATCTCATTTTGTTAAATCTTCGTGAGTGACATAAATTTTGGGACGACACGAGTTGTTAGAAATTCTGCATTTTCCACTATATGCATCGCGCATGCTCTTCGTGTTTCCAAATTTTAATTGCGAATGCTGCGGTAAGAAAAGTCTTGCGGCGGAAGGAAGTGTAACCTCAATGTCCGTCTTTACGCAAAAGCCTTTAAGCACTTATCCGGCGCGTGCCGGAATTATTAGATTGCGGACATCTGCATGTTTACACTATAATAAGTAACGCGATAACATTTACTGGCCGGCGGTCCACCGACGTTGTGCAACGTTACCAGCGCCACTTCTCATTTATGCAACTGCATCGTGACATACGCATCTGCAACGTGACAGAAGGCATCGGAGAGGAACGTCGCGCTTATATTCGCGTGTAAGCTGTCTTTCTCAATCGCCTTTTTTTGGCGAAAAATGCGAGGATGGTCTTAGGGATATCCCAGCTTGCAAGCAACCCAAGATATCGAAAGATCATCAGGGCATTCTCACGCTTCGAGTAACTGTTGCGTAAAGGCGTGTGTGTAATCGATTACATTTCTTACATCATATACGACACTTGGCACAGAACAATTACTCTATTCGCCGTTTGGCCTTTTGCAATATTTCGTTTACCTGAAAGCAGAACTCCCTGATACATGCCTTTTTTAAACGGACGTTGGAGATACGAGGAAAATCTGAGCGGAAAAACGTTGCATAAAATAACTGGAAAAACATAGTCACGTTGAGACACACGCTCCTCGA